AAAAAACAAGAAAGGAAGCTTATATACCCTTGCAGATCATTCCTATTAATTAACAAATCGCAAAAATGTTCAATTTTCTAATATTTCTCATTAATTTTCCGATCGTTCCTATGGCAGCTATATGATATAGTCGTCCGATTTTGATCAAATTAAAATTAAAATTCGGAAATATTTAAAAATAGTCATATCCTAGAGTAGAAGATAATACAATAAAAACCAAAGAAGCTTGAATTTATTTCCTATTACTTTTCCATTAATTTTCCGATCGTTCCTATGGCAGCTATATGATATAGTAGTCCGATTTTTTAAATAATTAATTCGAAATTCAGAAATATTTAAAAAATAACATCCCCAAAAGTAGAAGGTAATATTTCAAAAAACACCGAAGCTAGAATTTTTTAAAGTTTTTTTTTCCGATCCTTCCTATGGGAGCTATAAGATATAGTTGTCCGACTAGATCGACTCGTCTTGTGATGCTGATCAAGAATATATATACTTTATGGGGTCGGAAACGTCTCCTTCACTGCGTTGCAAACTTCTGACTGAAATCATAATACCCTCTGCAAGGGTATAAAAAACACGTACATATATTCGTTTTGATCAATTTCAGCGTTTGAAAAGCTACGCTACTCTCGTAGTATTTTGTTTTGCTATTGCTATCGCTCTCTTTTTGACTAGAGCCGTAGCAGAGCCATAGCAAAATAACGAGAAAGTTTGTGCTCTGCTCTGCTCGTAGTTTTGCCGCTTCAGAAACTGTAGCAATAGCGGTAGCAGAAAATCAAGTCCTGTGCTCTGTGTAGCAGTAACGGTAGCAAAAAATTGATAGCGAGATGAGAGCAGAGCACTTGCTTTTTTTTCATGTGCTACGACTCTCGCTTGTGTTAGTTTTCTTATTTTCTGCACCTTTCTTATGCAGCGTTTTCTTTTTAATTGTCGCTTTGCCAGAATGAGAAAGAAAATATTTTCTGTCAGAATAAAGTGGTTTAAAATAATAAAATAAATAATAGTATTTTATTCAAAAACTAAAAATCAATAAAAAACGAATATTATATATAATATAATATAATATATTGATTTTTAGTTTTTGAATAAAATACTATTATTTATTTTATTATTTTAAACCACTTTATTCTGACAGAAGCAAGCGAGAGTCGTAGCACATGAAAAAAAAGCAAGTGCTCTGCTCTCATCTCGCTATCAATTTTTTGCTACCGTTACTGCTACACAGAGCACAGGACTGGATTTTCTGCTACCGCTATTGCTACAGTTTCTGAAGCGACAAAACTACGAGCAGAGCAGAGCACAAACTTTCTCGTTATTTTGCTATGGCTCTGCTACGGCTCTCGTCAAAAAGAGAGCGATAGCAATAGCATAGCAATATTTGTATTCATCTCGCTACTACGGAGTAGTAATTGCAAACACTGATCAATTTCCAATTTCCAATTTCTTGAAATTTCATTTCACACATAGGCGGTGGCGTTTACCCGTTTTACATTATACGGGACGGCCAAATAAATCTTCCCCAATTTTTTGGTTGGTTCGAAAGTAACTTAAAATTAAAAAAAAAAAAAAATAGTTAATTTTAATTTAAAAAACAATAAAAAGGGGACTGATAAAATAAATGTTGTCTTTTTATAATCTTTACTTCAGCGTTACAAATGTTAGTACCACACATATTTTCGCCATTAAGAAATATACGACTTCTGGGGACCAGAAGTGTTGCGCCTGCGTTTGTCATATTTTATTTTTTCTTCTCATATTTTTGGAAATAGATACCCGACATAAAACAGCTGAACAGAGGGTAAATGATCGGCCATGGCAAACCAGGCATAATTTCTGGAGAGATCCTTTAATTTTGTGCTGAGACGTAATAATGGTCTTACATTCATATCTTAATTATTTTTGATATTTTCAGAAGACAGGCAAGACATGGATACCTAAGAACTGCATTCTGGTTGGGGCATTAAAAATTTTTTGTTCCAATGCTTCGATTGTAAATAATTTTAATAAACACACAAACAAATATTACAAAAAAAATTATTTTTATTGTGGAAAATCAGATACTGCAAAGCAGTGCAAAACCAAAACTGCGAGGATCTGGAAAAACCAAAGCTGAGAGGGTGCGGAAAAGCAGACATTGCAAGTGGAGGAAAACCATAACTGGGTACGTGTGGAAAATCTATAATGCGGGAAGTCGAAAAACCAGTGGATTTTGGACTGCATTCTGCCATTGTGCCAGAGATCCAGATAAAAACCTCATTTCCCCCTTACTTTTTGTGTCACCCCCGTGTATTTTAAAACCAGAGATTGAAGAAATGTAAGGGGTGAATGAGGTTTTGACCCTTCCACTTGTATGGAGAAACCTCATGAAAATATTTTTTTCCAGAGAAATTTTCTCGGTGGGCAGAGCAATCGGTCTGTAAGCGAGCCGAGCAAAAGAAAGCTGAAAAAACTGCTCGTCGGCTAAGTGCGATCAAAATTTTTGTACGAGCAATTCAATCGGTTGCTCTCTGATTTATTTCTCAAAGTCTTAGAGACAATCAGTTATTGAACTTGAACTTGAACGCCGGGTGATAAGGATCTTCGGGTTGAGTACAAGCTGCTAGCTTGGACAGAAATATGCGGTCAAAAATTTGATACACAACAATTTTTTCTTGGTCAAATTTTTAATTTGACCGAATCTTTTTTTACATGTAGGGGAGAAGGGGGTAAGAAAATTTTGGTTAGACATAGCAGCTATAAATAAAGAGAATAAAGGTATCATCGAAAAGGCTGTTCTTTTGGCTATAACTTTTTCTAACATCATTTTGAAGTCAATTGCAAAGCCCTTAAGAAACGTTGCAAAATGTCAACATACTTTTGAAACTAATCTAGTCCCAAAACTGGGGTAAAAACAGTACGAAACGTTCTTTCGTTGTTAACGGTATAGGGTAAAAGAGATAATTTTCATTAAATTTTATTGGACTCTTTGGACACGAATCCTTGGATCTAAAAAAAGAGTAAAAGAGTTTTGTTGTGGTTTTTTATACCCTTGCATATGGTATTATAATTTCAGTCAGATGTTTGCAGCGCAGACCGACCATTTCCGACCACATAAAGTGTATATATTCTTAATCAGCGCCAATAGCCGAGACCATCTAGCCATGTCCGTCTGTCCGTTTCTATGAAACGATGAAACTTTCCCAAAAGACTTCCTTCTATTGCAGGTAGTAAAAAGGCAATAATTAATCTGGAATCCCTGGAACTGCACCGATCGAGTCAGCATTAGGGTCTTCCAAAAATAAAACAAAGATTTAAAAAAAAAATTTTCCTTGTAGATTTACATCTTAAGATTATACAAAAAAAGTTTTAAGTCAATCGGACAAAAACTTTAGAAGTTATCCAAAGCTTAGCTTTTTGAAGTCATGCTACAACTAGTACCCTAACCTCCAAAAATTTTGGTACGTAAGTGCATCTTTAAGTGCTTTTTTCTCGAAGCCACGTTTTCAAAGTTCGTGTTCATCGGCCTTTCTAAACGGCTCAACAGATCGTTTTCAAATTCGTCGCATATTTTTCTGCATAAAAAAAACCCGCCCCCTAAGAAGCGTTTTTTTTATTTTTTAACTTTAAACATTTTATTTTTAAGCCGAAAGTCAAATTTTCTAGGTGAAAAGCACATTTTTGACTTAAGACTATCGAAATTTTTTTTTAAATACAAAATTAAAAAAAAGGGCTTCATAGGGGGCGGGTTTTTTAATTCTTAAGCGAAATGTAAAAACAAAATGGAAATCCGATAATTTTTAGCGGAGGTACAGTGAACACCGCAAAACGCATTTTTTTAATAACGTTCCAGCAATCGTTTTGCCACCGATTTATTAGCCGATAGTATCGGCTATAAAAATTAGTGGATGTTACTTAAATGATACTAAATAATATACAAAAGGTTTGAATTAAATCCATCCCACCAGTTTTTATAGAAAAAATCGCAAAGTTAGTCGATTTTTTGGTGCCAAAGACCCTACCCGCCCCTTAATGCAGCCTTCTGGTGTTATAAGGAGCCTTCAGTAAACACGGCGCGCAACTTAAACGAGCCGTTTGGCCGGTCAACCAACTATTCTGCCTCTCTTACTATTTTTGCCCCCTTCTCATCTACTATTCGGAAAATAAGGGAGCTCAAACAAAAATAATTTTTTTTATAGATTGGCGGAAACAAATTTTTGATGTAGCTCTCTGGTGTTCTATGGAACCTTCAGTAAACACGGCGCGCAATTTTAACGAGCCGCTAGGGCCACATACTATTGTGCCATTTTTACTATTTGCGCCCCCTTCTCCCCTACATATCCTTAAAAATCTAAAAAAAAACTGTTGATAAATCATGATTTGTTCTATCTCAGATATATATAAAAGTATATATTTTTTTTTATTATATTTCATTATAATTATTTTATTACCGACACAGAACATTTTTTGGGGATTTCAAACAAATTGGGAGCGTTTTGAACGTATAATATTTACTGTTCTTTTGCGCATGCGCTAGGACTCTATGGAAATGCTAATTCTCAATCATATAAAAATGTTGTTTTGGATAAGTTATAAAGCTTTTAGAATTTAATTTATTAATGTAATGTGCACTTAGTAAACATATATCTATGGATTAAATATAATTTTTAATACAAGTTGTATCTTAACCAACCAAAATACATTATTTATACACGAAATAAATGAGTATGTGCTCACGATTTTTATTAGTTATTGCGTTTTTCTTGCGTGTGAATGCCTGAACAAGATTACGCAAAAAGTTGTACACATGATAAAAATCTATAACATATCTAGTTCATATTTAATAATATAAGGTTTTTTTGTGAACAGTTTAAACTATACATAAAATATTTCTGTGTGTACAAAATATTTAAGGGAGGAAATGTATATTCCAGTCCATTTTCCACGCAGTGGATGTGCATGACTGGAACAGACAGGGGAGGATTCCTTGCCCAGTTTCCAAAGTCATTTCAATGGTTTGATAAACACATCGCGTCTTCGGTAATAAAATTTGACTTGTAAATAGTGTAACGAAATATGAATTCTTACATTATATATTAAAGGCTTAAACTTACAACTTCCAATCGATTGTTTTGTGGCTTAAGGCTTTAAACATTTATAGCAATGACATACATTATCGAGTATTTTTGGAACAATTGTTTTTTGTGTCATTGTCGACCAACATACTAAATTTGTTAGTGACCACTTATTTTTATGTGAAAATATATAATAATATATAACTTTTGTGTATTCACGTTGTGTACTAAAAATAATACTCTCACACCATACCAATGAAAGCATAAGGTCTGTACTATCTAAAATTATTGGAAAAATATAAAAGTATAGTAAAAGTGTAAAAAGTTCTTTGTGTTTTTTATACAAAATTACCGAACCAACGCCCAAGATAATACATATATTAATGGATAGTGTTTCCTGTGCATCTTCAAAGAGTTCCATGCCTTTTGCATACAAAAAACTTGAATATGATTAATATTTAACAATATATACTACTAAAGTTCAATACTTTCGGAGCTATAGGCTACGTAGGGCTGACAACTCAAAAGCGATATTCTTACTATATACGTTTTTGAATGCTTGGGACATTCTAGGTATTACATGTTCTAAACAAATGACAATTCTATTAATGGATTACTCACTTTTCGAGAGAAAGCAAATATTTCCGAGATTTCAGAGGACCACCTAGCGGCGATTACTTTATTTGTTCATTCCCTTTGCCGAAAACTATTCAAAATTAAATAAAATGTTAACAAAAAAAAATCTTTCAAAATGCAAGCGCACTTCACTTATGTGATGTGTGGGCGTTAGAGAGGCCTTAACAATAAATGCTTTGCTTAGGAGCCCGTAAAACGTTTGTGTTCTAGATTTAATTGTTTCCGCAGATCTCAGCGTTCATGAAAACTGACTTAGCTAGATCGATTCGGGTAGCGATCAAGAAAAATATTAATTTACAGAGTCAAAAAGGCTTCCTCTACCTGTTATATACGAGTAAAAAGTAAATTTTTTTAACATAAAAAATTTGTAAGCCGAGAAAAACAACCGTTCTCATCGAAGTTTTTTTCAGTTTTTTGATCTCTAAAGCTAGCCAAGATTGACACATAATACAAATGCTTAAATCAAAATCGATGTCATCTCGGTTTTGAGTCAAAATCTCCCAAGAGGGCCATCCCTGTTCTACCGGAGTTATAGCGGTACCAAGATGGCATTTTTAACACTTTTTCGTAAAAGGTGCAATCCCTGTTATTCAGCTAAAGGGAGCGCGTGGAAGATGGAGATATAAAAATTTGATAGCGCATAACTTTTTAACGAATGGTACGATTTAAAAAAAGGTTTTCTAAATTTCGATAGGTATACGTTAAAACTGCGTTTTTACTTTAATCTTTAAAGATCTTAAAAGATGTGGGCGCCAGACACATTTTAAACTCGTTTAAGGCGATTGTAGGCGTTAGAGGAGCCGTGGCCCTCAGCTGAAACAAACTTGCACTGCGTAAGAAGCCCATGAATATTTTTTACTGTAAACTGGTGTAATTGAGTTACCAAAGTTGGGACTTTTGTCAGTCATAAAAAATAAATGGTATTGAGAACACTTTTTATTAGTATTGCTAATAATTGTATTGAATTGAATTAGTATTGCTTTAACAAAAAAGAAAGCTTACTTCTCAGAAGTATTAAAAAATGATTCGATATGCTTTGCGTTCAAAATATAATTATTGCTGTTTTTGTACACTATTGTACAACATTGCTTAAAGTTTGAGCTTTTTTTAGTGTAGGTAACACTGCACATATGAACAGTAGAAGTCTCCAAAAAAGTCGAAAGCCAAAACAGCGCCCAAAAATGTGGGAAAAATACCAATTACTTAGTTTGGTTCGGAAAATGGAAAAACGCGATAACTCTTTTTCATCCATTTTTATAAACGATTTACGATCTAGTTTAAGACAGGAACCGTATAATATCTAAATCACAATAACTATAAAAAAAGTACAAAACAGTAATATAACAATATTAAGCGGGACTCTTCAAACTGCCTATTTTTGAGAAGTAGCTTACATGCTTGAGGTGGTAAATGCGGCATGAAATTTGTTTCAAAAGTTTTTTGAGGGATTGTCAACACCAAACTTATCCTTGGGTCCATATAAATGGCAGCCAACAAAACTTCATTTTTTAAAAGCTTACCTTCATAGCAAGTAGCATAGCATAGCAGTTCCATCCATAAGATGACAAAATCGCTGTAGACTAATTGTTCTCCTGCAATTTCAACGTTGCACCAAAGAGTATACATTATATAGAGAGGGCATAACTCTGACTTTCTGTTCAAACTGTTGTCGGCAAGGGGAAAAGGGGGAAAGAGCTTGTTCTATTTTTAGAATTCGTTTATTGAGTACACAATGCATAAGTGTAAGTGGGCTTTGTGTGTATGTGTGCGAGAACGTGGCAACACATTTGCGACAAAATTTCATTTTTGTAATTTCTATAATCTAGGGCCAACAACATTTAAAAGTCGAAAAGGATTTTCTGTCCAACATTTTCAACTCGGTCTATGGTCGTGCTGGTTAAAGCGTTGATCAGCGATGTTGATGCGAGTTCGATCCCCGCAAGAGGCAGACGTTTTCTAATATTGTTTTTTTCTTTTTTTGATGTTTCGAAATGTATATATTTTTTTTTATTATTTTAGTTAAAAGCTAAACAATAATTAATGGTAGAGTCTTGCAAAAAAAGAAATCCAATTGTTATATATTTCTTTTCTTGTAGATTAACATCTTAAGATTATACAAAAAAGTTTTAAGTCAATCTAAAAGAACTTTAGAAGTTAAAATGTAATTAGAACTAGTAAAATTTTTCTAAAAAAATAATTTTTGATTTTGCACGGCTTAATAAAATATTTTAAGTAAAAAAATAAAATATAAAACTTCCCAGGGGGCGGGTTTTTTCTCTTCTTAAACGAAATTTAAAAGCAGAATGGAAATTCGTCACGTTTGGGCACTGTTTGTGAAGTGTCACTGTGAAGGAAGTAAGAAAAACAATTTTAAAAATTCCAAAACAATTCACAAAAACCTGATGAGTGTCCTAAAAATTAAGGACATAAGGTGTCTTTGGATCAAAAATGCATCGTAGAAGAAAATATTTTTATTTAATTTTAAACGCTGTTCACAAATGAAGATTTTTAAACTTTGCTGTGACTTTAAAATTTTGAATGCGCCCACCTCCTCTTGTGGTTGAGTTAGATTGAATTTTCCAAAACGACCGAATAAAAGAGACATGTAACTATTTAATTCCGAGAAGATTACCAAAATTGGTTGTCCACTCTTGAAGATAAATCCCAAAAGACGAAGAAAATTTGTGATTTTCTTAAATTAAAGATACCGCAAATACCAGAGCTGATGGACTATAGGCGTAGTGGCAACTTATGCTTAGAAAAGCCTCATTTATCGAAATAAAATGGTGGCAGGCCTGGACACCGACCCATGTCACATTTTGTCGGCCTGTGTTATACTTTGAGCGATTGAAAAAAACTCAACAAGTAATTATTAAAATGGAGTACAATTTATAAAAATCAATAAATAATCATTAAATATTGATTTTTATTATATCACTTATAATGATTACGGTCCCTGGTATAAACTTTTAAAAACGCGGTTATTAGTTTACAGGTATGCCTAAATACAAAAAGTTGTTGAAACCTTATGAACCTTATGTTATGAACTATTCCACATAGACCCAACCCGACATGTGGGCTGGGTGTTAGTGTGTTGGTCCCCCGTGCTGTAAGCACGAGTTCGATTCCCACAGAAAATTTTTTTTTATACAAAAGTCAACCGCTTTTAAGCGGTTTATACAGAAAGTTTATTTTTTTCTTAGCTGGATATGTGTTTTGTGGTTCTACCCACAAGTGCACATTTAAATAATTGTAAAATTCTACGTAGGACAGCTACAATCACATTTTGAGTGATATTTTAAGCGAAATAATTACGCTCACAAAATAATCATTAGTTCTGAGCGAATGGTGATTTTTATTTTTTACTCAAAAACAAGAAAGGAAGCTAACTTCGGCCAGCCGAAGCTTATATACCCTTTCAGATAAAGTAATGCTCATTCGGTGCAGTTCCAGGGATTCCAGATTCAGCGTTTCTATTTTAATTTTGTTTATACATAAGTAGTCAAAAATCAAAACGCTTACTTCCTACAAAGTTACAATGAATTTTCTGATATTTGCTTGAATATTCCTATGGGAGCCTTAATATATAGTTGTCCGGTTCCGACATATATACTACCTGCAATAAAAAGAAGACTTTTGGGAAAGTTTCATCCCGATAGCTCAAAAACTGAGAGACTAGTTTGCGTAGAAACAGACAGACGGACAGACGGACAGAAGGACAAACGGACAGACGGACATGGCTAGATCGACTCGTCTTGTGATGCTGATCAAGAATATATATACTTTATGGGGTCGGAAACGTCTCCTTCACTGCGTTGCAAACTTCTGACTGAAATCATAATACCCTCTGCAAGGGTATAAAAATATAACTCGTAAATTCATTTTATATATGGGAGGGGGGATTGCGGCTGACTGGCAAAAACCGAAATTTTACAATGGTCTCAATATTATATATAAAAAAACAAGAGAGAACGCTATAGTCGGGTTGGTGTCCAGACTATCTAATAGCCGTCACTCAGCTTAAGGAAGTGCGAGGGAGATGGATTTATAAAATGTTGATTGCGCATAAATTTTTAATGAATGCTCCGATTTGAAAAATGTCTTCTACAATCCGAAAGGTATAACTATGTATGGCAGTCCATGTAGTGACGAAGCGCACCAGACGAAGGCGACTACTATATATACACGAAGAAATGAAAATCTGCTGTGATTGGCCGATCATAATGAGTGATACACCAATGGAAACGTATCACGCAAACTAACAGGATTGCATACCAAGACTTTAAGAAAATCAATTGACTTGGGAGAGAGAGTGGTGAAAGTAAAAAAGTGAAAGTTCGAAATTTGGAGTTGTTGGGGCCGGGGGGGATAAATGCTCCCTCGCAATGTTTTAATTGTTTTCGTATTGAAAATACTCGTCGAATGAGGGTCATAGGATAAAATCCGACGCTCCGTTCAAAAGTTATAGCCAAAAGAAGATTTTCTTCGTCTTCCCAAAATGAAAATTTAATTCTGTTTGTCAGTTTGTGAGTTTCTCAGTTTGTCCCAAAACGTTGGTTTAAAGATCTGGAAATTTTATATGGTGTTAAACAGCTCGATATTAGAAACATTGGTTCTACCACTTTTGAATAA